AAAAAAAAAGAAAGTGATAATTGAACTGAGCTCTTAAGCATTATTATTAGAAATTTATTTCGTGAAGAGGGGGTGCTATGGTCGGAATATCTGTGTCTCCTCCAAAGTCATACGTTGAAATCCTAATGTCCAATGTGATGGTATCAGGAAGTAGAACCTCTGGGAGGTGCTTAGATCATGAGGTTAGACACCTCTTATAAAAGACATCCCAGAGAGCTAGCTTGGTCTTCCGTCATATGAGGATACAATGAGAAGCCTGTAATCTGGAAGAGGGTCCTGCCCTGACCATGCTGGTTTCCTATCTCCAACTTCTAGCCTCTAAAACTGTGACAAATAAATTTCTGTTGTTAAAAGCTACCCAGTTTATGGTATTAATATTTTTGTTATAGCAGCCCAAATGGACCAAGACAGAGAAAGAGCTTTCAGGTATAAGAAACATCAATATGAAGGTCCTGAGGGAGAATGAAATGAAAGACAGCTGAGAATGAAAGACCATAATATTTTAAGGAAGTGAAAGAAATCCACTGTGGCCCACATGCAGAGAACAGTGTCAGATGAGGTGCGAAAGGAGGAAAAATTAAATTCATGCAGGGCTTCACAGGCTATCTTAAATATTTTAATTATTAATCTAAGAGTAATAGTAGGTGCATGACCACATTTTCAACAATCACTATAGCTATAGGAAGGAGAATGAATTGGAGGACAAAAAGAAAAGATCCAAAAAGACCAGCTGGAATGTTATTTTAGTCATGTAGGTTAGAGATGACTATTGACAGAAAAAGTGAAGAAAAGTGGATGAATATTAAATTAAAATCAATGTCTTATTGATGATTTAGATATGTGTGGTAAGGGAGAAAGAAGTATAGAATGATTCCAAAGTTTTAATTTTGAACCTGGATAGAAGTTGATGGTATTCATTGAGAAAAGGAACTTTTAAGGAGAATCATGGAGGCTGGGAGATTGTAAAGATCCTAAGTTCCAATTTGGCCATGTTTACCCATGGTGGCTATGATGAAGCTAACTGTTTCAAGAGGAAAGACCTAAAGATACTGACAGGCAACTCCAACAAAACAGCTAGGGCTCTTCCCAGTCACCATATAAGTGATGTCTACCTACTTTCATAAGCCCACCAATACACACACAATTTCCAATTAACTTTTTAGGTTAATTGAAGTACAAAAAAACAGTCAAGAGTTACAAGCCATTAGAATAAATCTTCTATCACAAAAGACCATGATATTTTAAGGAAATAAAAGAAATCCACTGTGGCCTAAGAAAGGAATTTAGAGTAAATAGATATGAACAGTATGTTGATCCATTATTTGGATAGGCAAAATTTCTACAGTATAATGTAATTCAACAAAGACAACTTTCATTAGCTGAATTTTTGTTTTATTCTTTATCTAATAAAATAAAAATAAAATTCTATTCTCACTAATTAATGTAATTGCCTCTTCTAAGATTTTCAGTAGTGCTTTTGTTATGTCAATAGTTATTACTGTATTAAAATAAAAATTTAAGTTTAGCCACATATTTTTCTACAGAGGAATTAATCTTTTGCTACTCACCTACTGGCTCTCCAAAGGTGATGGTGAGTTCTATTGTGTCATAAAGAAAGGAGAATACAGCTTGATCATCACTCCACTCAATGACATCCCACTCAGACAAGCTGGAGCGAGATAAACAAGACAAACATTTTTTTGAGATAAAAGAAGAGAGTTAACTTCGGATACCACCCAATCAGTACTAGAAATACTTGCCAGAGTTTTTCTACTGGATTAGAAGACAATTAATATTTTAATTCAAATATTGTGAATGTATAAACTTACATTTTGGAAAGAAATAATTCACTCAATCTTGAGTAATATATCAGAGTAAAACAAAGTCTAGGCAATATAAAGTGTTAAATACTTCAAAATTGTAATTCCACAGCTCTCCCACCTCGTGTACTTTCAGCTTAGTATTGAGTACACTGTTTTTCAGGATGTGTTAGTTAAAAACAGTGATACATGCTACAGACTCATGTCAACTGCTCTAGTAGGTTTAGACCAGGGATGTCAAACTCAATTAAAACACGGGCCATTTGGTGCAACAGGCAAGATTCANGACTCGAACCGCTGTTGCTCAGAGCTCAAACTCTGGAGCGAGCTCTTAACCAACTGAGCCACTCAGCCGGCCCGCTTTCAATTCTTTTGAATGTGTACCTAGGAGGGAAATTGCTGGGTCATATGGTAGTTCTACCTTTAAACTTTTAAGAAACTGATAAACTATTTTTCACAGTGGCTGCATCATTTTACATTCCCACCAGCACTGCAGGAGGTTCCAAATTCTCCACATCCTCTCCAACACTTTCTCTTTTTTTATACCCACCCTAGAAGATTTAAGGTGGTATCTCCTTGTGTTTTGAACTTGCATTTCCCTAATGACTAATGATATCAAGCATTTTTTTCATGTACTTGTGAGCCATTTGTATATCTTCTTCGGAGAAATGTCTATTCAAGTCCTTTGTCCATTTAAAAAAATTGGGTTGTCTATTTGTTAAGTAGTAAGAATTCTTTATATAGTCGGGATACTAAACTCTTATCAAATACATGATTTGCAAATATTTTCTCCCATTCTTTAGGTGTTTTTCACTTTCTTGATAATATCCCTTCATGCACATAAGTTTTTAGGGTTTCTTTTTTCTTTAAAGATTTTATTGGGGAATTGGGGAAGGGGAGCAGTGTTGGGGAATTGGGGAAGGGGTACAGCCAAGTTGTTGTCCTTCAGCCTTAGTTCTTAGTTGTGAAGGGCGCAGCTAGGTTAGCTCCAAGTCCAGTTGCCATCCGGCCGCCTGTTGGCAGCTCATGGCCACTCAGCTCAAGGTACCGTGTTCAATCTTAGTTGCAGGTGGGCACAGCCCACCATCCCATGCGGGAGTCAAACTGGAAACCTTGTTGCTAAGAGCACATGTTCTAACCACTGAGCCATCTGGCTGCCGGTTGGCAGCTCAGCTCAAGGTGCCGTGTTTAATCTTAGTTGCGGTGGGTCTAGCCCACCATTCCACGTGGGAGTCGAACCAGAAACCTTGGTGTTAGGAGCACGTGCTCTCATCAGCTGAGCCATCCTGCCACCTGTTGGCAGCTCAGCAGCTCAGGTTGGGGCACAGCTCACTGGCCTATGTGGGAATCAAACCGGCGACCCTGTTGCTCAGAGCTCGCACTCTTAACCAACTGAGCCACGCGGCTGGCCCAAGTTTTTAGTTTTGATGAAGTCTATTTTTTTTTGTTGTTGCTCGTACTTTTGGTGTCATCTCTAAAATTCCACTGCTAAATATGCCATGACGTCATGAAGATTTATCCGTTTCCTGCTAAAAGTTCTATAGTTTTAGCTCTAACATTTAGGTCTTTGATCCATTTTAATTTTTACATATAAGGCAATGGTCCAACTTTATTCTTTTGTATGTGAATATCTAATTTTCTCAGAATCATTTGTTGAAAACGGGTTTTTTTTTGAGACGATGAGAATGTTCTAAAATTGTGATAGTTGCACATATCTGTGAATATACTAACCATTCAATTGTGTACTTTAAATGGTGAATCATATGATATGTGAATTGTATTTCAATGAAATTGTTTAAAAATAAGTAAAAAAACCAACAACAGATTGCTGGTCTTAGGGTTTCTGATTCAGCAGGTTTGGGGTGAGGCTGATGCTACCAATCTAGAAACTATACTTTGAGAACCACTCCATTAGCTCATAGAAATGATAATTTTTTTTGAGAAACTTCAAAATCGTTTTATTTTACCGTTGTTTTTCTTTTACACAGAAAACTGTGGTTTGTACCTGGTTCTTTTTTTTTTTTAAAGATGTCTTTTTTTTATTGGGGAATTGGGGGAAGGGGAACAGACAAGTTGCTGTCGTTTTGTTCTTCAGTCTAGTTGTGGAGGACGTTGCTTCACTGGCCCAAGTTGG